TCTCCCAGTCCTTTTTAAAATATTTTACTTAGAAATAGGATCTCACTGAGTTGCCTAGGACCTCACTAAATTGCTGAGGCTGACTTTGAACTTTCAATCCTCCTGCCTCAGCCTCCCAAACCACTGGGATTACAGGCATAAGCCACTCTGCCTGGTTACAATGAGATTATGATGACCAAGTTTATTCTAGGTCACCTAAAAGAATGACTCAGTGATTTTGGCTAGTTTAAGTAGGTTCCTTGTGGTTTTCTCTGGAGGGCATTTTCTGAAACAAAACAAAACAACTCTTAGTGAATGTTAGCAGTCATTTAAAGGTAGCAGCTTCTTCCCTTGCAAGCACAGGTTCTTGCCCCTAAAAGTTCCTGCCTAGGGCTGAGTGCAGTGGCACAGGCTTGTAATCCCAACAGCTCTGGAGGCTGAGGCTGGAGGATCACAAGTTCAAAGTCAGCTTCACCAAAAGCAAAGTACTAAACAACTCATTGAGGTCCTGTCTAAATAAAATACAAAATAGGACAGTCGGGGATGTAGCTCAGTGGTCAAAGGCCCCAGAGTTCAATCCCTGGTACTTCTCAAAAAAACAACGTTCCTGCTTAGCAGCTAACAAAACAATTTTGCAAAAGAGTTTATTCACTAGGTGCCAATCATGTGGAAAGAGGAAAATTAGACTCAAATCTTCCTTTCCAAGGATAAGATCTAGAATTGTGTTAGTCAGTTTGTTGTCACTGTGACAAAAATACCTGGGAAAAACAACTTAAAGGAGTAAAGATTTCTCTTGGTTCATGGTTTCAGATATATCCTTCCAGGACACACCCCAGTAATCTATTTCCTCCAACTAGGCCTTACCTCTTACAGTTTCCACTACCCTCCAATAAATCCATTCAGCTATGAATCCATCATGATGATGTTAGAGCTCTTATGATCCAATCACTTCTCAAAAGCTCCACCATTGATCATTAGGGACCAAGTCTTCAATACATGAGCTTTTAGGGGTCATTTCGTATCCAAACAATGAGAAAGGTATTTATAGGTTCAAGAAACAGAGTGGTCATGAGGCTGGGGTTGTGGCTCAGTGGTGAAGTGCTCTCCTAGCATGCATGGGGCACTGGGTTTGATCCTCAGCACCACATAAGTGTAAAAGAAAGATATTGTGTCCACCTAAACTTTAAAAAATAAATATTAGAAAAAAAAAGAAACAGGGTGGTCTTAGACATGGGGAAAGGCAATTATGGGCAGGGAAAAGTGAAGTAATCAGTGGTCTATGCACATATAATCAAACTCCATAACTCTTCATTCTGGAGAATAGCAGCATTCAGGTGATCTGTGAGTGCTACCCCTCTGTTATCAAAGGTCACCCTTGGACACCTGCACAGGCCTAAACACAGGGTTAGTGGTTTTAACCAGTTGGAGATAGACAAAGGCATCTTTATAAGTTCCTGGAAAACAATTTAGGCAATTATTATCATTAAGACCCTTGTATTGGGGGGGGCTGGGGGCTGGGTTGTGGCTTAGTGGTAGAGCACTTGCCTAGCATGTGTGAGGCTGTGGGTTCCATTCTCAGCACCACATATAAACAAATAAATAAATAAAGGTCCATCAATAACTAACAAAAATGTTTTTTAAAAAACCATGTATCAGAGGTGTTATTTATAACAAAGCTAATGGGAATATACTGTTTAGTTATGGGACTTTTAAAATTGATGATTAAAAGCAAGTAACTAAAAAGCAGTGAAGCTAGATTGTTTATTACAGTTTTTCCCTCAGTTTCATCTGCACCCCCGCCACCCTCATGAAACTCCATCTTGAGCTACTAGCACGGCCAAAATCTTTATTATTTCTGCAAAGGCTTTGAAAAGTTAATATAGGGCAGCACGTTCTATTCTGGAGATTAATTCTAAAAATACAATATCTTTTTCTGACCAAAATAAATTTTAAAAAGCCTTTTAGGGCTGGGGATGTAGCTCAGTGATAGAATGCTGACCTGCATGCATAAAGCCCTGGCTTGTTACCCAGCACTGACACTTAAAAAAAAAAAAAAAAAGCCTTTCAGGCAAAAGTCATTAATCAGTTCAAAAAGAAACTGAGTCGCCCGTGTATCTAGTTTCCTTTTGTGGGTATTATTACACAACAGTGCCTCGCTGAGTAACTTGCAACGTTGAGTGCCTTAGCCCAACATCCTCTTCATGCCACACTCCATAAAAGCAGTAGAGGGTGAACTTAATTTAGCTGTTTCAGCCTTCTTGGAAAGGTGCCTATATCTAACCACAGGAAAGCAAGTAAAAAGGAAAGGCTGTTCGAAAGAATGCAAGATGAGGGCATTCGGAGACGGGGTGGGCAAAGCCCGGGGGTGGGGGGCGGGGATGGGAAATATGGTTCCTAAATTGAGCATCAAAGCGCCTGGACTTTCTGTGAGTGAGCTCAAAATCTACAAACGCAGGAGACTAGACTTGGGGGCGGAGAACGGCTCTCAGAGTGGGAGTGGGGGTGTGGCTAGTTTTCAGTAAACACAGAGCGGTACCGGGAAAAAAGGAAATGAAGCTAGCGGATTAAGCGAGCCGTTGAGATGCTCGTCAACACGCCCTGCAACTTTTCAAAAGGCAGCTTCTGCTTCATTAAGAGCACGATTTTATTAGCATGGGAAACCCACTCCTACGTCTCAATCTCCGTCGCACTATCTTCCACTTCCAAGCGTACCCACAAACCAGAGGCAAGCAAAACCTCTACCACTACCGAAATCCTAACGTGCAGCACAAGAAACTACAAGTTCCAGGATGCACCGCTGCCTGGGGCCAAATACCAACAACAGCAACCCTCCAGAAAAACTCCAAGTCCCAAGGTGCAGTTCTGCCTAAGATTCCCGAGAGCCTTTGTAGAAATTGGATTAGGTTGGCGCGGCATGCTGGGAATCCAAAATATCTAGAATCGGACTGGTGGAGATTTGCCAGTGACGTCTCTTTGGAGGGCCTGAGTTATTGAAGGGGAAGGAAAGGGACGCTACGCACTTCCTGCAGACCCGTGGGCAAAGGACGGCGTCTCAAGCCTCACCAGGTACTAATCTCCCGCCCGTCGCAGAAAGCGGCATTGACCCGGCGGAAGTAATTCCTTCGACTGCCCCGGAACCCACTGGGGAAGGCAGCTGGGGGTGGGGGGGGTGGCCCTGGAGTAGGGGCTGTGGCGGTACGAGGGGACTCAGCTGCGGTGGCTGCGAGGCTGACGAGTGAGTGTCGGGTTGGGGCGGGAACCAAGCTGCGGGTACGCGTGGAGAGTGAGGGAGGCTGGAACTGGGTGGTTTCACAGTCCCACTTCTCACCCCTTCCCATCTGGGCGGGGAAGGAACGGAAGCTCTTAACCTCCCGGGCCTCCCCAGCTCTTGGTTTGGGGGAGGGGAGAGGAGGTTGGCGGGACCTTTACTGGCGCCCCTCGGTGGGCTTGGAAAGATGTTGAAGGAGGGGAGGCTGCCGGCGAGATTGGGCCTCGCGGGGCTGAGCGCGGGGAGGGTGGAGTTAGAGGAGTATGGCATCCCTCTCGTCTTTTTCTTTAATCATGTGCGTTCAGTTCATTCTTGTCTTGAAGTCAGTCTCTAGTCCAGGAGTGGGTCTTCACTCTTCCTGCAGCGGGACCCCGAATAAAGTTTACCTTGCAGGCAACTCCTTGGATGATCTCTGCCTGACTTGGTTGGTTGGGGTTTTCGTGCATCTACATCCATTCTTGACTGAAAGAAGGTATCAAATATAGTGTCCAATTGATTTCTTACTGAAATCTCTTTAGTAGCATTTAACTGTGGAATTTGGGTCATTTAGTGTGAACATTTCTATTGAGCATGTCTTTCAGTGTAGAAAGTATCTGAACTCTTCAGTCTTTTTTAAAATATACGTTTATTTATTTATATGCGGTTCTCAAGATCGAACCCAGTGCCTCACACATGTGCCCCCTGAGCCACAACCGCAATCCAATCTTTAGTCTTTATAAAAAGCAAACAAACAAAAACTTGTTTTTAAAGTTCCAAATTTGCTTTTTGATCTCCAGTTATTTTCTTTTTCCTTTTTAAGTGGCCTAAAATGACAAATATCTAATCTCACTTACGTTATAATCATGTGAAAAATCACAGTTCACATGTGTTTAAAAAAATTATTGTTATATAGTAATTATGTATATTAGTGGGTTTCACTGTGACATATTTGTACGTGTACATAACATGATTTGGTTAATTTCATTTCCCAGTACCTCTCTTTGCCCTCCTGGTGGTCCTTGTCCTCTGTCTTACTGGTCTCCTTTCTATTTTTACCAGATTCCTTTTTTCCTCTCTAATATCTATGATATAACATAACAGCTCTTGACTTTCTTGAGTCTGGTTAGTTTGCTCAACGTGATGTTCTGAAATTCCATCCATTTATCAGCAAATGACATAATTTACTTATTTTTTAAAGCTAAATAAAACTCCATGATGTGTATGCAGAGAATATATGCCACATTTTCTTTGTCCATTCATCTGTTGAGCCTGGTTACTGTGAGTTGCACTCCTATTGCTATAAACATAGGTATGCATGTATTGCTTTAGTTGACTTTTATTCTTTTGGATAAAAACCAAGAAGTCACAAGTGAATTTATTCTTTCTAGAGATATAATGGCAAGGAAACAGCTGTGATTCTTCCCATCATGGATATTTGTTGTGATGATTCAGGATTCTACTTCATTTTTATCTTGGGTTGATTTATGTATTTATTTTTATTTAATTTTTTGCAGTTTGGGGGATGGAACCCAGGGTTTCCCATGTGCTAGGCAAGTGCTCTACTACACCGCCAGCTTCCTATTTAAATTTTTAAAAACTGTTTTTTGTTAAATGTGAAGGTTTAGCCAAGTATGGTGGCACATACTTGTAATCCCAGCATCTTAGGAGACTGAGGCAAGAGAATTGCAAGTTTGAGGCTAGCCTCTACAACTTAGTGAGGCCCTGCCTTAAATGATAAAGGGGTTGGTGATGGCAAGCACAGTGGCACATACCTATAATCCCAGCAACTCCAGAGCCTGAGTTAGGAGTATTATAATTTCAAGGCCAGCTTTAGTAACTTAGGGAGGTCCTAACCAATTTAGTGAGACCCTGTCTCAAAAGATGAAAAGGGCTAGAGATGTAGCTCAGCAGAGAACTCCCAGTTTCAATCTCAGTACCATGGGCATGGGGAGTAAAGTTTTGTCTAATTAAACTATTATTCAAAAAATTACACATTTATTTCAAAAGGAGAGAATCTTTATCACTACTAGATGGTACTTCTGTAAGAAAATTAAGCAGTAGTTGACACCCAGAAATTATAGTCAGCCCCATATATCGAGTTCTAAAGTAATATTAGTTTAGTGCGCTTTTTTTGTATAATTTTCAAATGCTGCAAATTAAATTTATGCTCTTATATGTTTATGCATTTCAGCTAACCTGCCACCCTAAATGATTTATTGTTCCATTATTATATAAGGTCAGACATAGCTCATCCAGTGGTGCCTCAAATTTTAAAAAATATTTATTGAGAATCTACTATTATTGTCACTGTTTCAGGCCTGCCCTCAAAGAACTTGAGAAAAGAGAGTATATGTATAAGTAATCAAATAATAGTTTCAGGTTGTGCTTAAAGGAAATATATCAAGTTTAGGGGTTATTGTAACTGGGATGGGAATGTCTAATTTTGATAGACTAATCAGGGAAGACCTCTCTGAGGAGTTGATGTTTTAGCTGTCTTAAGGAAGACTTAAAGGAAGAATTTTTCAGACAGCAGCAACTGCAAATGCAAAGACCTTGAGATGTGAGTAAACTTGACCTATTCAAAGAATACTAAGAAGATCAAGGTAAGTGGAACATAGTAAAGGAGAAGTAGTACAAGATGAGGTGAGAGAAGTTAACAAGAAATAAATAAGATTGGGGCCTTATAGTCCTCTTTCTGTCTGTAATGAGAAGTCAAAGCATTAGAGGGTTTTGGCAGGAAAGTGATACTGATTTATGCTTGAGATGGTAGTTTGCTGGGTGGAGAACAGACCAGCTGGGAAGAAAATGGGGAAACAATCTCATGAGTAGGCTTTGAAGTATTCTATTTGAGATATGGTAGCTTGAACTAGAGGTATAGAGTTAGAAATAAATGAGAAATGGTCTGATTTGGAATGTAATTTGAAGCTGGAGTCAAATCAGTTCACCCTAGGGACAAAAGAAAAAAAAAAAAACTGAATGATCATATGTTGAGCATCTTTTGAGTACCATTTACCAAAATGGGGAAGACTGGAAAGGGACCATGGTTTCTGAGAGAAGTCTCGGGAGTTCTATATGGAACTTGTTGAGTTTGAATATTAAGATAGCTGAGAATATGTGAGAAGGCATGTTAGAGGTTCATAACTTGCACTTAACAGAGAAGCCAGTCTAGGAAGTTAATCTGGAAATCCTGTTTTATAGGTGATATTTAAATCTGTGTACTGGAGGACATCAAGCGAATGTTAATAGAGAATAAGGCAGAAAACTACAAGTGATAAAAGTCAAAAAAAAACAGGAGAGTATAGCATTAGGAGCACTAAGGGAAAAAAAATATCTCAAGGAAGGGAGTAGGCAGTTATGTAAAGTTGCAACAAATAAGGTGAGGATTAAAAATTGGCCACGTGACCATGCAAAATTTGATATGACGAGACTCTTGAGCAAATTGATAGGCCAAAAGTCAGATTGGAGTGGGTTTAGGAGTGGATGGCAGCCTAGGGGTATAATTTAGTGGTAGAGCACATTTTCCGGGCCCTGGGTTCAGTCCCCAGAACCAAATGAAAAAAGTGGATGGTGGGTTGGAGGGCGTGAGGATGTGAATAATGACAAGAGCAAGTCCTTAGGGGAAAAGGTATAGGACTCAGTGCTTAATGGAAGAGCTGACTGTGGACAAGATCTATATTTTTTATTCAACTTTTGAAACAAAAACATGAATAGTATATGGTGTATAGATGCAGGTAAGTTGTAGGTAGGAAGATAAGGAATTGAAGTGATTTATTTCAGTGTATTTTTAGCCCATCATTCTAAAGGTTCTTCTAAATGATTTTATAACGTACAGAATCTATGATTAGATGTACACAATATATTGGAAATAACTGCTCATACTTTTTGCAAACTGAAACAAAGGAATCTGGATGGTGGGTTGGAGGGCGTGATTAAAAGGTGATTAGGCAGATTACAGGGTGAGGCAAACACTCAGAGGGAACATGCAGTGCTCAGTAAATTCTGTATTGTAGCTGGGCTCACACACACCTGTAATCTCAGCAGCTTAGGAGGCTGAGGCAAGAGGATCGAGAGTTCAAAGCGAGGCTCTAAGCAATTCAATGAGACCCTGTCTCTAATAAAATACAAAATAGGGCTGGGGATGTGACTCAATGGTTGAGTTCAATCCCCAGTACCCTCTCACCCCCACCTGCCCCCCCTCCAAAAAAAATCTGTGTTGTGTGGGGATAAATACTTAATAAAGATGGGAAATTGAGTTATAGGCAGTTGTAAGGGCAAGGAGGAACTTAAGATGGACTCAGGCATTAAAATGGTAGCGCTAGAAGGGACTTGTTGACACACATCTAGTTTATTTCCTTCATTTGGGAGACAAGAATCAGAAATCCTGTCTCTTAACCTAATATGGTCTCAAGATAGAAAGTAAGGGTTTAGGATTCTTTTGCTTCTTATCCATGAGTTTCTAGGACTGAGGGATTTAAGATTAAGAACTAGAAATGGTTGTTAACATTTTTTATCAATTGAACAAAAATTCAAAGAAAATTTTTATAACTCATAATAAAAATTATGTGAAATTCAAAATTCTCTGCCGTAAATAAAACTTTGTGGAAACACAACCATACTCATTTGTTTACATCTGTCTTGCTGCTTTTGCCTTCTACTCACAGAGTTGGAGTAGTTGTGACAGAGAGCTTATGACCTGGCCTGCTAAGTATAAAATATTATCTTTCCCTTTACAGAAAAAGATTGCTATCTCCCACACTAAAATGTAATTTCCAGACTGGGAAATAAAGACTAAAATAACGTGTCTTTATTTTTGTCCACA